TATATATATATATATATATATATATGTGTATATATATATTGGCCTTGTGTTTGGTCTTTAAAATTATTCTTAATATCCTCTTTTCACAAAACCTTATTAAAAAAAAATTGATTAAAATATAATAAATTGTAAAAAATACATTTTTTATAGATAATTTTTGAATTGCATTATTTTTTATATTGATTATATATATTTAACTTTATTGAGAAACATATTTTGATATTAAAATGTCTATATTTTTATGTATGTATTTAATAGTGTTTACAAAATTTAAAAGCTATCAAGTTTTAATATTTTGCATTATTTTTTTGCAAAAATGTAATTAAAAATAATTATTAAATCACGTCGCCAAAGTTGTTGCAGCTGTATTAAAACTTTGATTATGAATTATTATATGAAATTAATGCAAACTGACAAGTTAGTAGAAGCAAGTGTTTATAATTAGTAGAATTATATTAAAACATAAATGAAATGTGGTCTGTCCTATAAGTAATGAGACTATTTTTGGGGGCCTAATCAGAATTGTCGGGGAGTGGACAGGGCTTTTGGCGAGATGTTAAGTATACAATCTGACCCTTCTCAGTTACCTCCGAGCTTTTCTAGCAGTCGATACCGTCAGCAATGTGCGTTGTAATTTTTGTGTTTTGTCACAGGCGAAAATTCAGCACAGACTGTGCTGTATTTTGAGCAGCGTTACGCGATCATATTCTGAAGACAAAGCAGCACCCTCATAAGCTGTTCTCAACATCTCCAACGTTTCGGATCCAGATTTTCTTAGTTTCATGCAGAATTTGATCACTACTCGTGACTGCTGAATTTTTGACCGTGACAAGATACAAAAATTACAACGCACTTTACTGATATCAACTGCAAGAAAGGCTCAGTGGTAACTGGGAAGTTTCAAACTGTATATTTGATCCCATATCAAAGGCCCCGTCCAATGGATGCACCATCCGATAGTTTTAATTGCCAAAAATAGTCTCATTACTTTTGGGACAGACCATGTATATATAAAACTAACCGGAATAATAGATAGTTTTCCGAGTTATACTGTAATTTGTTTTTGGGATGTCAAGAATGCATTTGAGCTCTGCAGCTTCTGGTAGTTCCTCGTCTAGAAAGTCTACTCGTGATAAAATGTTATATAATCCATCTTCACGAAGTGTCAGTGTAGGTTTTGAAGTTTGTTTTTCTGGAACGTCCCTATAAATACTGTCTATTATATAACAATTTTTATTTTAATTAAGTTGCGCATTAATTTTATTAAGTAGATTTAGATATTTAGTTTTTATATTTTTAATTTTTTCATAATTTAATTTTTTTTTATATAATTTAAATATAATTAAATATTATCTTAAACTTTTGAAAATTTTAACTTTGTTCATATCTATTTATTGCACATCTATTCTGCTTTATCTATAATATTAGATAATTTAAATTATACAGTAAGATTCGAGAGATTTTCAGTTTAAAAAAAAATACTTACTTGACTGAGATATTGAGGGTTGGTTGTGGATAAAGGCCCTCCGCTTTACATGTCGCTTCCAGTCCATCTTTATTATCTATACTTTTTTTTTGATATTCGAAATTGAACTTTTTCTCTGTTGCTGCAATAAAGATTACAATACAATAGTATAAACAGCATTATATGTAATTTTAAATCATATTAGTACCAAATTTTACAATTTAATACTAAAATTTTGCGTTATTAGTATTTAGTAGTTATTACATTTAATATTATATTTTTCATTACCAACAATATTAGTGTTTAATATCATATATTCATGATTTACATGTGTATACATATAAAAGGAGAGAGAATGAGTGAGAGTGATAGAGAGAGAGAGAGAGGAAGAAAATTCATGTATTTTTATTTAAAATATTTATCTTTTAAAGTTTTAAAAATAGAAACAAAATGCTTAAGGACGAAATTATTTATATTTTTTGAAAACATATTTATTATAAATAATAGAACATTTTTTTCAAAGTAATTTTTCCTAGATTTTAAAATTATAGATACTTTTTTCTTTGTCTTTTTTTAATGTAGTAGTCAATAATCAATTTAAATGTGATCTTTAAATAAATTAAATTTATATTTTAAGACTTTAATTTACATATGTAATTTTATTTAGAGAAATATATTTATATTTTACATAAAACAATGTTGAATTTGTGATTTCATATATAATATTTGAAGCAATATTCACATACTTTCTTAATATTATAACAAATTTGAAATAGTTAACCTATTATGTTTTAATACTTTAATATTTTCAAGAACGGCGATGCAGCGATCGATGCAAAGTAAAAATAAAGGAAGTAATACCATATATGTTATAATAGAATTAAAATTTTGGAATATATTATAATTATAATTATTAGCAATCTTTTAATTTTTATCATTTTATTACTTATCTATGTATGTCAAAGTTAAAAGTATCATAAAACAGAAATTAGAGGATATAAAGGCAATAAAATAAGTAAACAAAAAAAGATGTTATAATATTATATAATTATACAATTTTATTCGATAAAATTAAAGCGGTTATCAATCAAAGTTATATAATTATATTTTATATTACAACTTTATTTGCTCGTTTTAATGGCCTTTATGTCCTTTAGTTTCTACTTTATTCTAAAATATAAACCAATATAAAATTTTACTTTAATAGTATCATATTCTCGAAATAGCATAAGTATTATATGTATTTATAATAAGAAATACATATTTAAATTTTATTAATTTATTGAGAATGTCAAAGAAATCTTGTGCAATCAACATTATTTTGCAGTAAAAATTTAGAACCAATTATATTCAATTATTGCGTATTTTAAAACTTTATGAGAGAAAAGATTATACAAAATGATTAATGATTATATATACAGAATATTCCAAACTTCGCATGATACCCATTAATAGCAGATTCCTGAGATCGTTTTGAGACGAAAATCCTAATACCAAAATAACGAGGCTACAAGTTTTTAAATGAGAAGAGTTTAAAGTTAGCCAATCGAATTGTCGCACGCTCAGATATGTTATATGACACATTGTACAGTGACGGTGTCTTCAAGCATCAATTCTATTATCGAAATTGATATTATTCTGTATATATCGTTGCTTCTTATTTTTATTGTATTTTTATTGTATTTTTATTGTATGTACGTGAACTATTACTTAATGATAATAATAGCAGTATAAAAGATATTGACTTTGAACGTGATACGCGTTATGATATATGCGACTGATATACTCAATATACTGCCTCCACGCATGTACTTTACAACGCGAAGCCAGATTCACATGGGTTTGTAATGAATGTTTGCAATAAATGACCTAATTCAAACTATATATTTCTTGGCATTTCCAAAAAGGCGTTTTTGCTAAAAGGCTGATTATACAAAAAGGCTGCGACATATATATGTAAATGATGAAAATATTGAATATTATTGCAGAAATATGTATATAAATGGTGTCCCAGATAGAGGAAAAAGTGCTACTGTAAATGAGATTGTGAAATATTGAAAGAGAACTGTGGGAAAAGAAAATTTATACTATTTTGATTTTGTTAAGATTAATGGTATGTAAGACAAGCCTATGTACAGATTCTAAAGTAATTTTTGGGGAAAATTGAATTCGTGTAAAAGAGATTAGCAAAGCTATTTTTATTTTTACTTTTTGATAATTAGTGATTAATTTTTATAATTTTATTTAAATTTATTTTAAAGGATTTTAAAGGCTAAAAATGGATACTTTTCCTTGGCATTAACAAAATTTAGAAAAAATTTTGAAAAGAACTTTTTAACATATAATTTTATGTTTCTTTGATAGTTTTCTCAAAATTACATATAATATGATAGCCACATTTGTTTTATAAATGTTTATAGACAATTGGAATTTTTATGTTTTTTTATATTTCTTTTCACAGATGAACCCTTTCTCTTTCATTGATCTGTTGGGTAATATTTTGCTTTTTGTAATATCTTGCCAAAGTTTTTTTTTTTTAAATGTTTTATTATTAAATAAATTTGAATAGATAGAGTAGAAATGTTAGAAATGTTACTTGTATTTAGAAGTAACGTAATGTTAACATTAAATGCTCATTGTCAGTGGCGTGCGCAAAGCGCGCGCTTTGTGTTCTAGTTGGTATAAAAAACATATTTACAATTTTACAAAAATATAGAATTTGTTATTTAAATTAAAATGTATAAATTTTTGTATTTATTAAATGTGATAGTGAACATTTTGAAATTTATATATTTTGATCTAAATAATGAATTTTATATTTTTGTAAAACAGCGCCATGTATTTTTACATAAAAATTTATTATTTAAACATTTTTTAATTTTAAATTGTTATTTCTTTAATTCTTTGTGATAACACTTGGGTTCAGTAAGATAATATAGTTTTTATAGGATTATAATTTGGCACCAGTTATTGATACCAAATCTTTTAGTATGAGACTATTTGGTTGAATTAAATAATGTTTTGTGATATCATTATATTTGTAAATACAGAGATAGATATTTTTTATAAAATAATATTTAGGTTTTTATTTTTTAATTTGGTACACAGTTTTTTATTTGAAGAGTACGCCAGCACTTGACTTATCTTTACTTAAAAAATATATATATATAATTTTGTGTAAATTTCAAAAATATACCTATCAATGTTAATGTAATAGGACAAGGTGTGCTAGTAGTTCACTGACAATTTCTGTTGTCTGTCATCATCATTTGCTTATTTTTGTTGACGTATTAAGAATTAATAACAATTTTGAACATCTATAATGCAATA